TATATACATATATATATATATATATATATATATATATATATATATATATATGCAGACGGAGAGAAATAAACAGACAGAGACAGAGGGACACGTAGGGCAACACAGAAGAGAGACAGAGAAAAGGAGACAGAGAGACAGAGAGACAGAGAAAGAGAGAAAGAGAGAGAAGGGGGGAGACAGCCACGCAGATAGAGACAAAGACAGATAGAGAGAGAGGAGAGAAGAGACAAACAGAAAAGCAGACAGCCAGAGAAAATAACTAAAAGAGACAAACTCAGAATAAACAAAAGCCAGAAGAAAAAAAATAAAAAAAAAAATAAAAAAAAATAAAAAAATAAAATAAATACCTGCATTATATATGTTGCAAACGAAGACAAAGGAGACCCAGGAGGAACCCCACGATACACCAGGGTACCCGATATCATCACCCGCGACGAGGCCTTTGAACGGCCTGCAGCAGCAGCAGCAGCAGCAGCAGCAGCAACAGCAGCAGCAGCAACGGCAGCAGCAGCAGCAGCAACAGGAGCAGGAGCAGCAGCAGTAGCAGCAGCAGCAGTAGCAGCAGCAATAGCAGCAGCAGCAGCAGCGGCAGAAGTAGCAGCAAAAGGAACGAGATTAACAGCAGCACATCTTCTCAGCTACGCCCGGAGACAGCAGGAGCTTCCTCCTGTAAACCCTAAACCCCAAACCCCAAACCCTAAACCCTAAACCCCAAACCCTAAACCCTAAACCCTAAACCCTCACCTGCTAGAGCATTGAGCAGCGTGGTCTTTCCTGAGCCGCTGGGGCCCATGATGACGAGCATAGATCCCGGGCGTACACATATATTAATATTTTTAAGGATTACATGCAAATCCTTGCTGCTGCTGCTGCTGCTGCTGCTGCTGCTGCTGCTGTTGCTGCTGCTGATATGAGCAGTTGTTGCTGCCAAAGGTGATCCAGCAGTTTCTCCTTCTTCAAGTTGTGCAGCAACAGCAGCTTTGCTGCTGCTGCTGCTTCTCCTGCTGCCGCTCCTGCTGCCATTCCTGTTGCTGCTGCTGCTGCTGCTGCTGCTGCTGCTGCGCCGACACAGCCTGCTGCAGGGTATAGAGGCCCCCCCCCGTATAGCATAACAAAAATCCTTAGCTATCAGCGTCACGGGGGGGACCCCGGCGGGGCTGCTCCAGCCCTCACACTCAGTAGAGGGGCCCCCCTTTGGTGTGGGTGGGGGGCCCCCCAGGGGGCCCCCCTGACAGCTTACATCGGGGCCCCCAGGGGGGCCCCCAGGGGGGCCCACAAAGGGGTCCCCAGGGGGCCCCCCAGGGGGGCCCCCCCCGTCGCCTGCTGGCGGCATTGCCTCTCCTTGTACCTGCGAGGGGGGCCCCCCGGGGCCCTCCCTGTACACCTCAACAGCAGAGGTGGTGTTTGGCTCGGTCTCCATCTATTCCCTTTCGTGTTGCAGGAGTAGTATATGCAGCAGCAGCAGCAACTGCAGCAGCAGCAGCAGCAGCAGCAGCAGCAGCGGGGAGTGGGCACAGGGGAGAATCGAAGGAATCCTCAGGTCCCTTTCTGGCTGATGGTTTTGCTGCTGCTGTTGCTGTTGCTGCGGTCTAGCTGTCGTTACCTTCGAGTTATAATATCTCTATATTTATA